AACTACAGGCTGGCTCCATGGCACAAGGTAATACTCTACTCAACAAAAGCCAGACCAGACATAGCGACTACAGTTGAAACTCCCGACCTGGGCAGCCAGAAATATGTCTGGCATATGCACAAGTGCCTGAAATCTGCAGGAACTTATGGAGGGTACTCCCTTCTTTCTACATGCAGCACATGTTCAATCATGAATAAAGGGAAAAAATTAAAATTAAGAGATTAAGTATAGGGGACCAGCAGGTGGCATGGTGGTTAAGGTGCTGGACACTCCCACATGGCCGACCACAGTTCAAATTCCAGACTTGGTGGCTTGCTTTCTTACTTTCCCTCTTTCTTTGCCTTTCTCGGTCAAATTAAAATAAATGAATGAATAAATAAAATTAAATAATATTTTTTAAAAGAGATTAAGTATAAATGGCTTCTCCCAAAGCAGTACTAAACAGTAAGTAATTTTAAAAGTTGGGATGGGATGACATCAGTTCTGCATTAGCCACTTAAAAGCACTGAAATCCTTGGGGGCCAGCATGTGGAGTGGTGGTTAAGGCACTGGACACTCCCACATGGCCACATGGCCAGCCACGGTTCAAGGCCTGGACTTGGAGGCTTGCCTTCTCACTTTCTCTCTCTCTCTGGTCAAAATAAATGAATGAATAAATGAAATTAAATAATTCTTTTTTTAAAAAAAGCACTAAAATCCTTGTTACAAGAATTATATTGGTTAATGTGTGGTAGTAGCCTTTAATTATTTTATTTTATTATTAATTTTTTTGAAAGAGAAATGTTTTGCTATAGAGTGCATGCGCTTGCCAGAGAGACAGAGAGCTACGGACAAATGGAAAGTGAGAAATCATCCCCCAGGGGGGATAGCCACACCACAATCCCTTCTCCATTTTCCTTTCAGGATTTGGGCATGCACACACATTCTATTGGATAGCAATCATGTGTTTAGAGAACTTTTTATTTTTAATTAACCCTTGAGTTTTCAAACCAGTAGGTAAGCTAGAATGCTTGTTTCTCAGCTGCTGAAAAACTGTTTCCAGGTAATATGGAATTCAACAGCAGTCACAAAATTAGCCCAGAAAATACCTCCAGACTTCATCTCTTCTAATACCCTCAATTTATAAATTAAGATCCAATTCAATCTGCTTTCTACATTGCATATAACCCTTGCCTTTACTATATGCCATGAGTTAAATGCTAATGCTGAGGAGAGCAAAATCAATTTTAAGTTATAGAGAAGGGAGGACCAGCAGATGGCTTAACAGTTATGTTGCTGGACTCCCACATGGTAGATCGCAGTTCGAGTCCTGGACCCTGAGGCTTAAAACTCACTCCAGGCACATATGCACGCATGTCCAAAATCCCAAGAGGAGAGTGGAGAAAGGATTGGAACCAGCAGGTGGCATGGTGGTTGAGGCACACTGGACACTCCCTCTTGGCTGACCACGGTTTGAGTCCTCGACCTTTTGGCTTGATTTCTCATTTTCCTTCTCTCTTTCTGGTCAAATTTAAGTGAATGAATGAATAAATAAAATTAAATAAATCATTCTTTTTTTTTTAAGTCAACGTTCTTTTTTTTTTTCTTTTTTGAGAGGTTTTTGCTATAGGGCGCGTGCACTGGCCAGACAAAGAGAGACAGAGAGATAGAAAGCGAGAAATCACCCCCCAGGGGGAATGGCCACGCTGCAATCCCTTCTCCTCCATTCTCCTCTCGGGATCTTGGGCACGCATGCACACGCGCCCAGCATGAGTTTTAAGCCACCG